GTGCTGGGAAATTCCAAGTGGCATGGCTGATAAAAACATAAATCATTAACTCGTCATCCTTTCCTGTTTGAACTTGTGCAGTGTTGATGGTTCAAGAGAAATAAGATAAGCAAACTGTGCCTCTAAAACAGAATCACAAGACTTAAAATAATTGCTTCATGCTTGGAAACACAGCACTAGCATTTTTGTATACGTTGCATTTCCAGCAGTTCTGAACTTACATTGCATCAAACTCAGTCCTGTACTTTATTGAAAAAGTAACACTTTCAAGAAGAGCAGAGGTATACTTTTGGCATTTCCTGTGCATGTTTTCGTAATAGAGGTGCAATTCTTGCAAGGTGTTGCTTTTCACAGGATATGAAACAGATAGAATGGTAGAATAATTGTGTTTGTGGCTGATGTGTATAGTAATAATAATAATAATAATACATTTGATTTATATAGCACACTTTAAAAACAACGTCATCTCAAGGTGCTTCACAAAGCTATAAGGAACAATAAGTAAAAAGTTATCTAAACGAGCATATTGGATAAAATATGGCAATATAAAAATAAAAATAAAAGGTTAAGAGCATAGAAGGTTTAAAAAATATAAATAAAGTAAAGGACAGTCTGTGCATGGCATGAGATTGATGTTTAGATCAGTGCAACGATAAGAAAGCAAGCGCTACATTTAAATGTCTTCTCTGACATGAGTAGAAAGGAAATTATATTTCACAATATAGTACATCTGAGAACTAAGCTGGATATCTTTTACCAGAGAGGCTCACAGTTTCTTTACTGCCAGGAAAATCTGCCACGGCCAATGCCCCATGACACTAGTTCCTGGGAGCTACACAGGAAACATTTTATAGCATTACGAGGAAGGATAAGTTTAACTTCACAATTTGAATGAATGGGATTCAAAACAAAAATATATACGTGTATTACTTTTAAATACATTTCATCAGAGCGATATACTTACTTACAGAGGTGGGAGAAGTAGTCAGATGTTGTACCTGAGTAAAAGTAGCCTAGAATCTAGCAATACTCTGTTAGAAGTAAAAGTCCTGCAATCAAAAGTATTAGCATCAACATATACTTAAAGTACCAAAAGTACTTATGAAGCAGATCAGCTCATTTCAGAAAAATATGTATTATATGTTTGATTATAATTATTGATGCATTAATGTGTTTATCAAAGCTGGTAAAGGTGCAGCTAGTTTGAATGACTTTGTATACTGCCGTGAAGCTTGTGAATTTACTCCAGGTGAAACTAAAGTCTGATTTTAGTGTTGAGTATATTTTTCATCATTAATCGAAAATAACTAAAGGTACAAAATAAATGTAATGATGTAAAAATACACAATTTACCTCTGAATTGTAGTGGAGTAGAAGTACAAAGTAGCATAAAATGGAAATACTCAAGTTGTGTAAACGTACTTAGTTACAGTGTTTCCTACCTCTGCTTACTATACTACTTTCTTTATTTTTGATTTCATTAAAATCCATATAAGCTATAAGGAAAACGTTTCAAGACTGTTGAAAAGTCTGCTATCTGCTGTATTATTGTCTCAGAGAAAAGGTGGCAAAGGGACAGGCAGCAGAGCCTGTGACCTTGCCTCAAGGTGGAGCATCCCCTCAGGAGATGACACATGTGTGAGCCACAAACAATAGCAGAGTCTCTAATTGCAAATGGCCACATAACCTGCACTGTCCCCCTTCACACAGCAGGGGATCCAAATGTAACCTTTTTTTATGAGCTTTTTGTACAGTGAGCGACCGATGAATTGTGGAGCTCCACGACAAACCCTGCTCTTCTATTGTCTGGTGCAGAGCTACAGAAAACATGCAGGAGACAATGGAGGGTCAAGGCAGAGGGCCTAAAATAATCACAACAATGACATTTCCCGTATTTATAGTTGCAAAGAGACTCCCAACTGCAGCGCCTGAGTGCTTTGTTATGAACAGGAAGAGCTTCTCCCCGTGAAGAATGAACAGCACTTCTCTTTATGAGTGAGTCATGGTAGCAGGTTTCATTGTTTCCCTCAGTGTGTGGTTGATACCACTGTGGATTTAAACGTTTCCCTAAAAACGCAAATACAGTGCAGAAATTACAAAGCTGAACATTTAAAACAACTCAGTTTGCTCTGAATAAGAACACTGAAATAAGTTTTGGGTTAAAAATGCCGTTCGAAGCATGGTTAGCTAGACAAAGTTCACTGGGTCATCTTGCATCTGCAGCGCTCTTCCTGTGTGAAGCTTGAGGCGCTCAGAAAGCAGGCCAGAAAAAGAAGCACGATGACAGGCGAACAAAAGGGGAACGGAGATTGTTGCAGATAAAAAGCGTCAATATTTCATTAAGGGTGATGACAGTGTGCGGTGTGCAGACCACTTCCAAATAGACAAAATGAAAGGTCTTTTGTGCATCCTTTGATGAGAGGGGAAGCTACTATCAGGTCACCAGGATGAGCAGAAAGAAAAATCAATGTTGTGCTTCAGATTAGGTGTCTGGGCAATGGCAGGAGATTCAGCCTCACTGTGCCTCTGAATAGATACTGAAATACAGGATGTAGCCTGTTATCAAATGAGTAAGACGACAAGTTAAGGCAAACAGAGAAAGAATGGAGAGGAAATGCTATCACGATGTGTGCCCTTAGTTTCATAGATTTTGGTTTTAGCTGCTCAGCTTGCACGCGAGGTACAGAACAGGGACATTTGTGGTTTTTGCTTGTACTTGTTTATGAAAACAATGCAGTCAAGACCTCACACCTTACATCTACTTTTTGCGGTGTAGCAGTGCTGCACTATTTATTTAAATAGATATATGTAAGGGCCTTTTATATAGCCTTTGAGATACAACAGACACGACTTCATATCCTTCCTGCAAGAGGAAGCTTGTGTTATTCTGCTGCTATGGCTCTATATTATCTGAAGTACAACTTCATAAAGTGTTCAGTCAGGATTCTGAGTTTTACCTGAACTGTTGGTTCAAGGCCTTGCAAGACCTGACAACAAGGGGTGGACTAAATAACCTGAACACCCACAATGTTATGTAAACCAATCGTGTTTAAATTCACAAAGATATAATCATCTTTTTCCTTTATGAGGGATGCTAATTTCTGAGACTCTTTGGTGTTGTTTTTAGAAAACACATATATAGTGTGAGATGCTGTCATTATATTTTAATGACAAAATCTGTCTATGTTAATTGTTACCAAAAAATAGCAGACGCTGTGACTCAAGGCTCGATGTGGGCCGACTTTCTGGCTTGCTTTATCAGTGCCACTGAGCATAATGTAACTATTAATAGAATCTCAATAATCAGATCAAAAAGTGAAGAAATTATAAACAGTTTGGAAAATACCACAACAAAAAGACAACACTTTATACTATAGTACTATTTGTTTCACTGTAAGGTTGTTTGTTAGCTACTTGCACAAGGTTAGTCATTCTAGGTCAAAATGTATTATGTCTACTAATATTACAATGTGTTACAAACATCGCCCCACACTTGGATTAAGGCCTTGGTTTAACACTGGTGTCAATGTGATATCAGAGTAGTCGAATAGTACATACATACATTTCAGCATGTTTTTTATTTAATGCCAAATTGCTGAAAGAATCAGTGTCTAATAAAGACATTCACCTAAATAAATAATCAAACATAAGAATCTGACTGAACATTTAATGTCAACTTACAATTCCTAACACTTCTTGATACTGAAGGCTGTCCAGAAATCAGTCGATTCAAAAAATGAAACCCTCAAAAAATATGTTGTACTGCTCTTAATAACCCAATCCTCATTATACCATTCAAGCTTAGACTCCTCAGTTAATATTAGAAGGCTGAGCTAGAGAGATGCAGCCAAGCCCTTTGTGTAAACTGTTGGGAGACCCTCCTATCTGCAGGACACACAGCATGGGGGTGTTGTAGCTCAGCTATGCGACACCACTTAATCTGTATCCTTACTAAACATGGACATCTTTGGAGGTGCAAGGGGAAACACAGTGGGAATAAAAAAAAGCAGGGGTCTGTGGTGTGAGCCCTGGAGGGGAATTCAGTGTGGCTTCATGATAAGGGACCAGAGCTTCCTCAATAAAACACATCGCTGGCAGATATCTGGAAAAAGCCTCTCATATAGCACAGTCCTCCTGTCAGCCGAGGGGAGGTTCAGTCCCTGGAGGAACTTTGGCAGCAGGATAATCCATCGCTGGTGTGACCGTTGGTGAATCAGCAGCATTATGGTTTTGTTGACTCAAGGGTCTGCAGTATATGTATCCTGTTGAGCCCAAACGGTCATGGGCGAGGCATTATTTTGGTTTTACTGTTGCCAAACATGTGGTTTGGCTGTTTAATTACTCCATTATGTAGAGCTTCTAATTTGGCAGAACAAAGACTAACAGGCTCTACTTTTTCCCTCTCATTAAATGTATTTATGCTCTTAAAACCAAGAGCAGAGTCCCTTATATTCACATAAAAGCACGGTGAGCACTTTTCGGACTATTCTAACAAGCAGAATTATTTCAACAAAGGTTTATCTATATTTGAACCAGGATCTAACATTTCTCACTCCTTCCCACAACAAAGGTTCACACGAGTGATTTCAACTCCACCTAGTGGTACAAAATTAACACTTGCTGTTTGAAAGACGAGCAGTCATCTCCCTCTCTGTCAGCCATTAGTGGTCACAGACATTTAAAAATAACACAACGGCTAAAGGGTCCAGATGTTGGGTTTGCTTGTGTCTCGCAAAGAGAATAAAACATAAAGAATACCGATGACTCAACATGTTTAGTCTACTTTTGATATTGCAGCGGAAATTGACATCAAAAGTTGAGGGCGAGCTCAAAATGGTGTGACCCCTTGGAGACCCAGCTGCTCTGAGTCTAATACTTCCTGCTTCCCCGACAAGCCAAACAGAAGCCCCCCGTCAGATGGCCTCATTCTGCTGGGAATGTTATCATTGGTAACCTGAACAGTACACAGCAGATGTTCAAATCCAATTAGAGACAGAGCGCACACACAACTCAAATATCTTTATGTAAAAGAGTTTAACAGTATACAATTGGAACTTTAGTGGATTTTTGCGATAAAAAAAATCAATGCAGCACCTGAAACATACATTATAAAGAACCCAGTGTTGTTAGAGCTTAACTGGGTTTCTGTAAACGTGGATAAAAGATCCAGACCTGGTCTCATATACATGATGTGAAATGATTTTGGCAAACAGTTAGTGTCTGTAGTGATTGTTTACAGTGTGATTGTGTAAGCATCCTGACTTTAGTGTTCTGAAAACATTTTCTCAACTTCATCCATCCAATCGCATGGATATTCTTCCTCAAAGTCCCTGTGAAGAAAGGAGAAACAGTACGACACATTTTGACTTTGTTATCATCTGAGAGGTCATACAAAAACAGGACATTCCGTACATTGAACGGATATCCAGCAGAGATTCATACAAACCTCTCCTTGTACATTCATATTTCATGTGAATTGGATCATATTTGATTTATTTATCTAAATATGTCTCTGCTTTGGAAGCTCAAAAAAGAGTGAGTCGGACATTTTGTTATAATTTATCTTTGGCAACATAAATATTTAAATAAAGATAAATAAAGGAAACAGACACATGGGTTCAGTATCATATCTTTCCCACCCATAAACACTTTGTCAAAACACAAGTATGAGCCAAAGCGATATATTGCTATTTTTAAAATCTCATTGTAGGAAAGCTGTCTTTAATATAAACAACCTAAAGCCATTTGCATAAAATCTGGTTAAAAAAACATTTTTTTAAACAGTCCCTGAAACATCACATACATAACAGCACTACTTGTTTTTCAATCTGAGGAAAGGAATTAACATTTTCCCAAATCAGCAAAAAGAATAATAGTGCTTACAGGATTCTTTAAGAAAATAAAATGTAAACAGACAGTATTATACATATGTATACAAACTAGGGATGGGAACAATTAATCGAATATTCGAAATTATTCAGTTATTCGAATATGAGAATATGAGTTATGAATATTTTAATTTTTTGGGAGGGGTGCCTTAGTTGATTACATATTATCAAATGGAATAATTCAATGTATACGACAGTGCCATAGCTAAATGTGTTGGGTCTAAAGGTGTGTTTTGCTCAGCTCACCGGTCCCTCACAGCAGGCAGAGCTGCAGGTGCTGCTCTCGGGTCCGGTTATACTTCACTCTCGTTTATGTCCAAATCCATCAGATCTAGCTAGTTCTAGCTAATGATATGGCTGCTGCCCCTCCCTACACGCTGATCACGCAGACTCAAACCTCATCTTATGCCCAAATTCCAGCTGAGAGGGTCTTCTCTACAGCTGGCCTGATTGTGAATCGCCTCCGCACCCACCTCTCCCCTGAGCATGTAGACATGCTCATATTCTTAAACAAGAATGAGTATTGAATAGCTGCATTCTGTGCATAGGCCCTGTTATAGGTTGTTGATCTCTGTTGTAATAGGGTTACGTTACCCTAACCCGTTATGTTGTTCGTGTATGATCCCTCTTTCATTTAAAAACCAAGTTATGTTTTAAGCATGAAAGCTGTAGGCCTATAGCTGTCAACTGTTCAAACTGTGATCACCAGTTCAATACATTTGACAAATTCGACTTGGTTTTTATACTTACTTGAACATGTATTTTTTTTTTTTTTTTTTTGTAAAAATGTTTTAATAGGATATGTACATTTCGGTTAATCTGTTAACCGTTTTTTTGGGGGTCGAATATTCACCGCTTTCAAATTCCCATCCCTAATACAAACCCAAAAATATATATTTAATTAAACTATTAATTACAAATCTAAATGACATCAACAGTTAGGACATCCTAAAACCAACCCGGTATCACGGCAAGACGTGAACATGTGACGATCTACCATGCTGGGAGACGTGAATATGTCACGGTTTCGTCCCTTCAAACGTGACAGTTACACGGTATTGTTAACATGGCCCAACCAGTGGAGAAATACCCGGAAGTGCCTAGCAAATGGTCTACCGCGCCTATTGGTCGGTTTTTATTGTCAAAATGAGATGTTTTTAATTTATTTTGTAATCATCACACTTGATTTCGCCGATTTTCTTGTTGCCCTAGCTGGTCGACACCTCTTTTAGCAGAAACAAAGGCTACATTAATGTATTAAATCGATGTTAATCCATGTGTGTGGAGGTGAGGATGTGGAATTAACGGACGTGACGTTGTGTGATTGCGTTGCCAGGCAACGCAATTTACAAACTCTTCAACTACAACCCTAATTATATTTTAAAACATTTTAGAAGGCCTCACGAAATACTTTAATGTAAATTAAAATGTAAATGTGAAGGGGTGTGTGTAATGTGGTGATTGACATTATTCACCCACGGATCTATGGGTTGGGGGTATTGTTCCGCACGGACATTTTAGTTAAACGGACTTACTGTTGATGTGAAATCCAAAAAAAAATACGTTATACACCATAACGGTGCACAGCTGATATAAAAGGACTTGTCGTTTTTAAAGATATTACTGATTTTCTTTGAATATAAGAATGTAAATACTGAGTTGAGAGAATAGTCAGGGGATTTGGGTGATGGGAGACACATCTATGGATTCAGAATTTCAATAGCTTACTGTTAAATGACAGATATACCTTTCTGTCTGTGATGTTTTACAAATCAGATATTAGAAGTAAAACATGTGAAATAATATAGCAATATCCTGTACAATTATGTGAAAACATGAATAAAACTACACATCTTCAGATGTTATACATACACAAGTGTCCTACACTAATAATACAAAGTTATTATGGCTGTGTGTACCTTGTGTGCACCGCCTAGTGGTTAAAGCACGTTATTGAATTAGTTGTGTATATGATATGTCAATGATCCTTAGAAAATCTTGAAATCTTGAAAGGGATATGCAAAATAGCCATTATATACAGTCTTTAATTAACTATTAGTAGAGAATAACGAGTAATGAATATACTTTATAGGGATCTGCAGATAAATGTTTAGTCTTCTCAAGCAGCAACTATCAAATATCTCTCCTGATTGTTGGCACTTGACAATCACCTTCACTGAATTTTACTCAGGTGTAACTAAAGCCTGATTTAAGGGTTGTTTATATTTCACATCCTTAATCAGAATCTGCAAAGTAACTAAAATAAATGTAGTGGAGTAAAAATACCAGGTTAACCTCTGAATTGTAGTGGAGTAGAATTGCTGTTTTGTTTAGTAATGGATATTGAATATGGAATAAAGGTTTTGACAAGACCTGGTGTAACAATAATCAAAAAGGACATTAAAAGAGCTCCAGATGTCAATGATCTAAACAAAACAGCACACCTGAAATGTATATTTAAATACTTTATTAAGGGCAGTGAATTAGTTTTTTCAAATCAGTGTTATACAGTAAGTGTCATAGACAGTGTTACATTGCTATTATTATCCTTAAAATATATATAAAACAAAACCATTTATGATCTTTTTTTTTGGGTGGTTTACTAATGACAGTTAATTCTGTTTTTGCTATTGATGGTTTCATTTTTGTGAAAAATAATAAAATAATAAAATAAAATAACGTGCTTTAACCACTAGATGTGCCTTTCTATCAGCTGTGCACCGTTATGGTGTAAATACAGCCTATCTACCAATTGGATCAAATATAAAAGTCAGCCGAATTAGTATTGATACTGCAAGGAGACGTATTGTGTGAAAAGAAATGTAAGATGTTGTTTAATTGCTGATATATTTATGATCCACGTCACGTTTTCAGTTTTGGCGGCAGTGCTTCCTGTTTGTTCAGAAGTCTTCTCATCAGGGCTCTATAAATACAGAACTACGGCAGATATGTCATATTTAATGCAGCCGAACCGTGTATTACAATGCCGTTATGTGATGACCTCCAAAGAGAAAAGCAAGCAAACTCGGAATAAAGTATTATTTTATTTTTAAAAAATGTTTTCGGATTTCACATCAACAGGAAGTCCGGTTAACTGAAATGTCCGTGCGGAACAATACCCCCAACCCATAGATCCGTGGGTGAATAATGTCAATCACCACATTACACACATCCCTTCACATTTACATTTTAATTTACATTAAAGTATTTTCGTGAGGCTGTCTAAAATGTTTTTAAATATAATTAGGGTTGTAGTTGACGAGTTTGTAAATTGCACAACGTCACGTCCGTTAATTCCACATCCACACCAGTCTATGATCCACACACATGGATTAACATCGATTTAATACATTAATGTAGCCTTTGTTTCTGCTAAAAGAGGTGTCGACCAGCTAGGGCAACAAGAAAATCGGCGAAATCAAGTGTGATGATTAAAAAATAAATTAAAAACATCTAATTTTGACAATAAAAACCGACCAATAGGGGCGGTAGACCATTTGCTAGGCACTTCCGGGTATTTCTCCACTGGTTGGGCCATGATAACAATACCGTGTAACTGTCACGTTTGAAGGGACGAAACCGTGACATATTCACGTCTCCCAGCATGGTAGATCGTCACATGTTCACCTCTTGCCGTGATACCGGGTTGCCTAAAACAGTCTTATGTAAAGGTATTTCCCTTCTGTCTAGAATAGTGATCTACTCCTAGCTACTAAAAAAGTGGTTTAAAGGTCAAAGATGGGTTCGGGTAACAGTAAAACAGGGGAAATGTGTTGTCTGGGGATGCAACATGATTGAAAGAGAAGGATGAAAGGAATATAAAAAGGTTAGAAAACTGTCAAAAAACTATAATTTAATGGGAAGACTAGGGGTAGAGGAATGTGAACATTTGGTTAGGGGTATTGTCAAATATCTGGAACAAACTACCAGAAACCCTCAGGTCCGCTGCAACTCTCACTACTTTTAAATCCAGGCTGAATACTTTCTTTTTGCCGCTACTTTTAATTGAACTATTCACATCTTACACTGCACTGTAACTGTTATTCATGTACCTGTGTTATTCATGTTTTATTATCTTTGCTTTTAAAGGTTTCTAATGTGTTTTATGCTCTGAATGTCTTTCATTGTTGTAAAGCACTTTGAATTGTCTTGTGTTGAAAAGTGCTATATAAATAAACTTGCCTTGCCTTGCTAATGTCATGTTAAACACAGCTTTGCATCTGGGTTACTCACGTGTCCTCATCATCAGAGCGAGGCTGCAGTCGCTCCTCATCTAAGGCCACTTCAGGCTCAGGACCATCAGGGTGGTCCCCCTGCGGCTGGGAGAGGGGTCCCACCAGAGGGTCCTCACCTGGAGATGGAAAACCAGAGGACTGTTTATATCACCCACTAAAACCACATACAGTTTTGGAAAAAATTAAGAGATCACTGTGAAATGATCAGTTTCTCTGGTTTTACTAATTTAAAAAGGTGTGTGTTTATTCTTTCAACTACTGACAACAGTTATCTGTGTTTGAATTCAATAGACAATGGAATGGAATGGCTGCCATACATGTAGAAATTGAGATTTAAGAAACATTTGGAGTGGTCTCTTAATTGTTTCTGGAGCTGTATTCCAATCAGAGGGAAATGACTGAAATGTAACAAGGAAAAATCATGTTAGCACATTTCAAATACAAAATATTCAGAAATGAACAGACCTCCTGGGTTTATTAAAAAGGTGCTGAAGGCTCTGCTCAGCTGGGCCTTCTCCAACACACTCAGAAGCGTCTCTGGAGGATCCTTGTCCCATCGTCTCCTCTGCCGGCTGTCCCCTGGCTCCTCTGATACACGGGACAAAACAAGGACACAGCTGATAAACTCCGATACTGGAATTTAGTGCCTAAACTTGAATTTTTAGAAGATTTTAGAAATAGCGAGGGGAAACTTCTATCCCCCCCCCCCCCCCCCCCCCCCGCCCGAGTAGTACCTGTGAGGGACTGGCAGGTTGACCCCATGCTGTCCGAGGAGACGAGGCTGGCGTTGGCCAACATCTGCAGCACAGTGTCCGAGGGCCCCGCGGCCCACTGCTTACGAGGACCCGGCTCTCTGCTTTCAGAGTGGGCTTCATGTAACTCCACGCCTGAGGGAAAGGGTTACTCAGGGTGAATGTTTTGTTATGTTAATCGTTTTCAAGAAGGTCCTGACAATAAATGACCTTTTACAAGACTTTAACCTGCCTTCACATCTGCACACTTATGTAAACAATACTCAAATACTCAACTTTTTAACTGTGAAATCTTGTTTCAATAGTTACTTTACCACTTTTTTTGTTGTTGTATTATTGTATTGTATTAAATTTTATCTTTATTTTTACCTTGTGTGAATCCTGTTTTTCATTCTGACACTGTTGCTGCTATAAACGCCGGAATTTCCCCAAGGGGATAAATAAAGTTCCATCTTATCTTATATTATCTTAAATCCACATTTGTATTCTGTGTAGACGGTGCATGCATAAAAACACAAAGAGCAAGGACAAAAAAATGAGCAGCAAATAATAAACAAAAGGAAATGTAAAGGATTTGGGAACCTATCTACAGGTGATGAAATAGCAAGCAGAGAGAAATGATAAGGTGCTCATGATGATAAATATTTGTTTTGTTTTAAAACGAATGGTCATATCAGAATGATCAAAATCTTAATTGTGACATTTAATCACGTAACATATTCATGATAGTGCTTTATTTCCCTTCTAATTGCAATAACATGTATGCTCCAACCACTCTTCACAACAACTTATGTGATGTAGTTCTCTCATAATTGCAACAGTATATCCCTTTTTCACAACCAATTGTTAACTTCGACTTGGACTCTACCTTCAAATGTCGACGTTGTTATCAAACTCTTCTCTCCCAGAAGATTAGCCACCTTCTTCCCCTCTTCTCTCTTCCATCGAGCCGTCCGCCTCCCCTGTTCCTGAGTCTCTAGCGCCTGTAAAAGATTCAAAACCCTGCCGTAAATCAAACACATAACACGAGCTCCGCGGCCATCTGAACCAACAGCAGCTTGTCAAAGGTCAGATTCCACGTAGGGTCACCACAGCAGGGCAAATTGTGTAAGAGTTTAAATTCTCACTTTGACACCATGTTATGACTGTTTGTCGTTCTGATGGATAGGTAGCAATACAATCACTTCAGGTGCAACTGTTTGAGTGACTGTCACCATGCAAGAGGATCAGTGAACTGTTTTTGAGGAGCACAGAGGGGGGCTAGGTCTGTACCTGGGAGGGCAGATGTGCACGGAGGAGTTTGGAAACCCTGTGGGAGGTCAGGATGCTGTGCATGGACGGCCTGTCTTTTGGGTTTGTCTTAAACATCTGCTTGAGCAAATACTGCAGTTCGTAGGGCAGGTGATTGGGGAGGGGAGGGTACGCACCCCGACACACCTTAAGAATAAGGCTCTTCCAGCTGGATGCCTGGAACTAGACACAAGGGTGAGATGTGAGGATATCCGGGACAACAAACCATACACATCTGAGCCACAAAAAATACACAGCCGGTAATCTAACTCAGCTGAAGAGACTGGGCCTCCATCGTGTTGCAGTATCTGACTGTGCAGTAACATGACAGCAGAAGTATTTTATACAACGATTCATTGACAATATTTGGAGAGAGGCCCACAGTCAAATCTTTGGAACATGCAGATAGGAGGGAGGGGGAGGTACCGGGTGTCGCAGGGTGCAGAGCTCGTACAAAACGCAGCCCAGAGACCACACATCACTGCAGAACACATAAACACAGAGATGGTTATTCATTCACACCAGACATGCGTCATGTACTGGCACAGGCAAAAAGAAACAAGATTGGTTAACCCACGCATCAGTTACATAATCACTTCTAGGGTTGTTGTTCTGGGAATATCCAAGATGTAAACTTTACACGGGAATTCATGGGGATCTTGTTGAAAATAACTAGGGATTATTTGGTCAGGCTGCATTTACTGTATCATATTCAAATAGAAACTATCATTACTTGATCATTATTAGACATAATCCATTATGAGCCAAATAAATCCAATAATTTGTCAAATGCATACAATATGCCAACAATATGCTGTGTGGTGAGTTAGCTCATAGCTAGCTAGCAAGTTTACTAATGGGTTACTTACAGGTAATTTCAAAACACAAGCTGGCAATATGTGCTGTCTGTTAACTAAGAATAAGTTGTAAGTAAACAACTAACTCGTAAAATAAATGTTTACTATAAAGAATTTGGAATTAGATTAATAAAACTCCTCAGTTAGCATGCTCAACCAAGTTACATCCCATATGCTAACAGCTCGCTCACAACAACTAGCAGAAGGTGTTAGCACAGTGTGTGCTTTGCATGAGGCTACCATCTGCTGGTTAACTGTAATATCATAAAAAATATTAAAACATATAATTTAAAACGGTAATTTAATCAACATCTAACATGTATACATGTAGTTCTTGGCTCAAACTGTGAAATAACGTGGGCTGCAAAAAAGAGTGACTGTCAAAATAGTACAAGTTTTATTTTAAAGTTGTACAAAGTTCCAAGTCTTAACTTTCCTTGAAACATTTCCAAAAACGTTAGGGTCCCTTTGCAACCACATCACAAAGTAACCAAGTGTTTTTAGAAGAACAAATATAGAGTATCCCCAAGTCGAAAGAACTACAAATGGGAGTTTAAAAAAAAAATGTTTGTGCTAAAACTAGGCCACAATTATGTAAAAGAACAAACAAAGTATATACAGCTTTCTCCTTGTGTTTCCTTTCATTGACATTTAATCTGTCATATTAAATGGAGAAAAACTTGCAAAACAAACGCAAACCTCTTATTGTTGTATGGCTTGTTGTCCCAGATTTCTGGAGCCACGTAATATGGTGTTCCAACATATGCCTTGGAGCTGCAACCCAATCACAAAAATAGTCTGTTAAAATGAGTAGCAGCAAATCAAGCACTCAGCAGTGAAGGCAAATTGTAAATTGTTGCCGCTCTCCTCCTGTACCTGTTCAGAATACACGCTGAGCCAAAGTCCCCGAGCTTGATTGTCCCATTATCTGTCAGGAATATGTTCTGGGTAAGGAAATGAAAGAGAAGTGATGACTTAACATGAAGCCAAACTAAGCTGCCAACCATTGCAAAATGATGATATTATGCAGAAGTGGGAGATAATGTTGTTATTTTATCTCGATCAGCGGTTTTATCATTGTTCATTTCACTCCACAGCGCTCACGATGATGAGATTTTATCAACATGCATTCAACCAATAAACTAAATTATCTACTTCATGTTCGAATCGAGAGAACAAACTAAAAATGAATTATGTTCAATGTATCCATGTATTTTAACAGTTTTGAAACATCAAATAAAATGTATAAACATATTTAAGTATAAACTATAAGGACTACTGTACCTTAGACTTCAGATCTCTGTGCAAAACCCTTTTATCATGGATGTGCTGTGCCGCAGCACACATTTGAGCAAACCATCTCAAGATCTGGAAAAATAAATACAATGAAACAAAATTTAAAACAAAACTGTAACATAAAATAGTGAGGATAATTGCAGGAAGTCGAGGCCTACGTGATCCACAGAGAACTGTGTAGTTTTCTGCTGTTGAATCCTCTGGAGCAGGTCTCCTCCACTGCAGAACTCCATAGCAATACACAGGAGGCCATCAGCTGGAAAAACACAATCACACTGCACATTCCACAATCCAGACAATAACAACTGTATGTCTTGTGTAACAGAGTTGGGTTTGTGAATACCTTCGAAGGCCTCCCTGAAGGTCACAATATTAGGATGTTTCATTTTGGATAGCAGGATGGCTTCCCTCCTCGGATTCTCCAATTTGGAGTTATTCTATAAAAATGCAAATACAATCACAAATACATTCTCTGTTATGCAAAACCACCAGCCCCCACGTCCCTGTGTGGGCAACAAGGGTAGGTTAAATAACATTTCCATATCCGACCCCCGGCTATAACATATCAGTCTGAATTCAAATATGTTTATGTTTAATTCACTATGTGTTACTGATATGACTTTGTCAGGGTCCACCACTTCTGTTCCCTGTTCCATTACACATGTAAGGATACAGGCTGTAGGCTGCAGTACATACACACCTCTTATCATACAGCTGTTATATGTGGTAATACATACCTTGGGAAGCTGGATTTCCTTGACCACATACTTCTCCTGACTGCTTTTACACCGAACTAACAAAGCCCGACCGAAAGAGCCCTCACCGATGACTTTCTGGATTGAGTATCTCTCCATAGAGCTCCTTGAGAGACACACAAAGACCACAAAGGATGACAACAATACAACTAAACTGGTTCCAACAGATGTATGCTCTTGAGATGAGACTTCTGTCTTTTGGTATTCGTTGTTTACATTGAGATATAACGTGTAATAAAAGACTAAGGCACCCAAAAAGAATCTACTCGTGTTGATTGTTGGACCGCTACTTCCTTATTATTGTATGACGTAGGGCGAGATACTCAGCTGTACTGTGCCGCGTGGCCACTAGATGGCGGTAGTTGACCATAAAGGCTCGTAAGACTTTCCATGACGATTTATAATGTTATAACATTTAGTTCTGTTTGTCTTACTGTTTTATAAAAGAGGATTTCGCTTTTCAAATGGTTGCATGTCGTATTTTTCCTTTTTTATTTTATGCATGTGCTTTGTTGTGTCTGTTTGTGTACATGTTTGAATGTCCACACTGTTCATAATGTTGTAACTTTTTATGTCGCCATGATTGTTCTTTTTCGTCGATTAAACATTTCAAGAACTGAAACCAAACATTTAAACCATAATCACAAAACTAACTGGTGTTTGTGTCATTTTTGTAAACGTAATGCGTTGCAAGTCTTTCAGAGCCCGGATAGCTCAGTCGGTAGAGCATCAGACTTTTAATCTGAGGGTCTAGGGTTCAAGTCCCTATTCGGGCGGACAAAGTTTTAAAAAAGTTTTCAACGGTACAGACAGCAATAAACTCTAAACTACAATTTGCCGGTAAACAATTTAGCACTCTGGATCAAGTGAAGTAAATCTAATGTTAGATTACTTTACAAATTGTGGGAGGAGCAGATATGAAATACATTATTGTCCTGATCTGAAGTCCTTTCACGTATATGATATTTGAAAATCCCATTATGATATGACACTACAACGATCATGGCAAACCGAATCATTTTATATTTTAAAATACGAAGATGGATTGCACTACCTTCTCCTGCTAATAGAATTAATATCACACAGCAATGTATGGAGACGACCAGAAATACAAGCAATGCATTTGTTCGCCGAAATGTTTGGCACAAATGTAAAGTGTACCTGTTAGTTAAGTTAAGGAGCTGAACGTTGAAAACACACCGGTAAGGTCATTTAATGTTCAGCAAAATCCCCTTAGCATCTACACTCATCATTACCAAACTATTGCATAGCGGGTCCAAATGTCTAATGTGTGCCTCATTACCTCCTTCGTGTTGCTCTCTGGCAGTGGCCCAGTCCATTCAGGCGATAATTTTCCACAGGAGGAAAATAAAGGCAATAATGAGGTTAATATCGGACATGGTGCAACAGTTTGTATTCAGCTCCTGGATTATGCTGCACAAGCTGTTTGGGGACATTTTTGGCTTTTCTTAGAGCTGAATAAAACACTAATATCCAATCCATGCTGACAATGGGCGATGCCAGTCAATCACAGGGCTTCACAATAAGAGAACCCGAAGAAAACCCATGCGGACACGTGTAGAGCACGCACAGGGATCATGGTGGATTCGAACCCACTACCCATGTTCAAAAAGTTCAGGAAGAAGCCCCCTCAGTTGAGCTTGTACTCACAAATGGGTGATTACTGTATTGTTTGTTTTTGTACTATGTCACTGATCTATTTATAAGAAGACTGCAATTTGCATTATATAGTTGTGTAGCACTGTCAATTGAAAGGTGGGCCAACCGCAACCTGGATGGTACTGGATGGAGACCATACCTCACATTAAAAACATTATATACAAATATTTAATTTGTGAGGTGATTCTCGTGAGATGAAGATCATGTTTGTCCAGGAACAACCTTTCTTTAGGTATCTGTGGTGCCGAGACAGTATTTCATGCATTATCATAACATATGGTATCTTTCAGAAGCTGTGACACTTCTCTTTTAGTTTTTGCTGACGGATGACTGACATGAAGCAGATGTGCGGCAGTAAATATGAAAACTGAATAACATTAGAACTCTGGTGAAGAGGTTTCCTCTCCTTGACAGAGCAATTTATAAGACTTGTTTATTGATGTTTGTATGAATTAAGCCAGTTTTAATTATATCATCCCTTATAGCCTATAATTCATTCAGCAATTCCATTCAAATTCTTGAAAGAGAATATATAAAAAGTATGCCCTATTCACATGGCAGCTGGGTAACTCTCCAACTCCTGGAGCCATGAGAAGCTTGCGATAGAAAAACTAGAGTCAAGGGCCAAAAAAGGCAGAGAAATGCTGCATTAGTGAAATGTCTTCAGAGGTTATCAGTGAAATACATCTCTTCTAACAACAAAGAAAAAAAAGAAAAAAAAAAGTCTTACCAATCTTTTTTTCTAATACTTAGAGGTTAGATTTGAAAAAAATGAAGTTTGGATACTTTTTTAATACTGTAATATTGGCCCATTGCCCTATAGATCCCATTTTAGTGTATAATGGAAATGAAGGCACCCTGAGAAATGCAATAATGAAAACATAAACATTTATAGAGCAATAATTGGTGTTCAGTTATGCTATTGATGTTATAAACTAGTTCAAAGATGTTACATTCAATGTACTTTCAGCCTACTTCCAAAACCCTGGATCGCTTTGAAATGATTCCACAATCCAAATAGAAGTAATGAATGAACTGAACCGGCAATTCCGTTTGATTATTAGGCTATTTAAGATGATAAAACTATAATTGATGGTGCCATGTCTGTGATGCTGCTTTGTGGATGGTGAAGGTCACTCTGTTGAACATCCAATGTTTATCTCAACTTTAAGGTCCATTTGAACATACTTAACAGAGGGTTTGTCTTTTCTTTCTTTTTTAGAGACAGATACACTTTACTAATACAGAGGGAACCTGCCAGGTTTATCATACAATAAAGAAATCACCATTGTAGATGTAAGCAGATTACACCTTTTATACAGAGATTTAGTGAGCTTAACAGCACGTACCAGAAGTATAAAAACAACTAACAATGCGATTATCAGTTAACTAATAATGTTCTAGTGGAACAGGTCTAATCCTTGTTAGAATGCATCAAAGTCTGGATGTGTCTGTGGGATATTGGCCTCTGATTATTCAAGGGACGACGAGGTGAAAAGGTAACATAATGGTATCTTTTATAGTTTACAGAGAGATATATAGGATTAAAAGAATAAGCATAATCTTAACCCATCCTAAATAAAGACAAGGCCTTTTTAAAATTGTGTAAAGAGTGAAAACACTCAAGAATATGTGAAACCCTGAATGGTTTTCTTTTGATTTGGCTGAAAAAAAACTCCATTAATAATCCCTGGAGATTACATTGATCAAAACAGGCCATTACCTTCTGTAAAGTAAAATAATGCCAAAACAAGTGCAAAAACCTTTATATAACCTTATAAAATGGAACGGGAATCACCCAATGGCAGTTTTGTTTCTGGTCACATACCTATGTACAATAGTCCAATTGTTGTAGCTCCCCCCTACAGAAATTCCAGGGGTACTATTGGACGGGAAATGCAGAACATGTGGTAAATGGGATGCATTCCTGAGCGAGGAGTCCCAAAATTCCACACAGGTCTATGAGCACAACAGGAATACCAGAGGAAAAAGTCACAGGGACCCAGAAAGAGTATACAACTTGTGGTACATGATCTTTTACCACTGTGAATGTTTTTTTTGGTCTGCACCTATCGTTGTAATAACATATTTAATGTATACTTTATAAGTATTACTCTTTTGAATGTCATGGCATGTTATGCAGTGCTGGACAGGTAGCATGAAGTGGGTTTATCAGGGCTTGTTTGCAAAATAAGTGTTAATTTTCAGTGAGTTTATAACCAATCTTTTTTTACTTCTGTTATAGCTACAAAAGTACTTAAGTTGTGGTGTGATCTTTATCTTCAGTTAAACTAAGACTATGATGGGCTGTCTTACTTTAATAGGTCTCAAAAGTATAAAATTACTCAAAATAATTTTCAGTTTGCTTCAAATAACTTGCCGGAAAAGAGCATTTTTAAGTTGGGTTGATAGTTATTTAGGATTAAGGGATCAAGGCTGGATTCTAAACTACTGTTTGCTTGAAACTTGATAAATACTGGTGGCCAGAGAGCTGTTTATGACTGATAAGATGCTGGGAATGACTTGATCAAAGACCTCCTGGAAGAGCTCAGCTAGTGACACGTTTCACATGACTGACACGTCTTTGACGGAAAAACAGGTTCAAAACAGTATCTTTAAAGAGTGTAATTCCATTGCTCACAAGCTTTTGGTGAAGGATAAAAGAATCAGCATGTTTTTCCTGGGAAGACGGTTGATAGCAGAGTTGATTACGCTGAACGCTAACAGCACCTCAGTGTTGTGACAATTATTAGATAGCAGCTCACAGAATGCTGCTCTTGCATCTTCTCTGCATATATCTCACATTTCAGTAGGTCTTCCATAGGGCCCTTGAATATTTGCATTGTGTCTTATATATTCCATCTCTATAGGGGTGTATGCTCACTGAGTAAAGAGAAGGCTTTGAAGCATCTTTGGATTTTAAAGTTTAAACAGCACAAAGGAACTCCATTCAGGAAATGAAGGGAAACTGTGCCATCTTTGTGCAAAGCTTTGAGAAGCTCACAATGTTTGGTTTTTTAGTCTGTGCCCAGAGGTAGGATTTCAGTTCTCTGGAAATGTGTGGTGTGTTACTTTTGGTCTTTAGGAAGTATAATATTGCTATATGTCTCACCCAGGCGTGGAAATAATGCCACTGCCTGAGTTTGAATTTTAACTGAGGAAGCTTGAAAGGTGAAAGGCCTGCTTGCATTGTTTTTCATTGATGCTAGCTGACATCAATGGGAGGCTACCAAAGCCTTTTCACTCCTGCTTCTTTCCTCCCATCCCTCGTGACACTCTTCTCCTACCGGGAAAATCACCCGGAGGAAATGGTGCAATGAAATGATGTGGAGGAGGGGTTAAACTTCAAAATGAATGTCAAAGAATAGGTGGAAACAAGAAGGCATCACAGACAGCTTCTCTCCTGTGTGATTCTATTCCCATTTAAAAAAGAAAAAAGAAGATAAATAGTACATAATATAATTGGAACTATGCTTCTGAATGCAGATTATCTTGTGCCTAATCCTACATTCTTTCCCAATTTGGTGTGTTTCTCGATACGGTAATCACATGTTACCTTTAAGGCTCTGCACACCCTTGTTAAACTCACATAGGTGCTTTAAATAACTCATGCTGA